ATAAACTAATAAGAACAACACACATACATATATATATATATATATATATATATATATATATATATATATATATATGTTGCAGTTACGATAACTTTCTACAGATACATATGAAGAATACAGAGCATCTGCAGTCAGATAATTCTGATCACTGGAGATCACAATTTAAAATTCTCTAAAAACACGGTTTGACGTTATCTCTATTTCAATACTTCACCAATAAAATAGTTTGCAGGTTTCGTTTGTTTAAGCGCAAAGCTGCTCAATAGATTATCTTCGCTGTGCCTTTCAGGGATCGAACCCCGAAATTTAACGTTTTAAACCTACGGGTTTAGTTTAAAGCAAGAAAGTAGATCAGAACTACAGAATAACACCGGATTCTAGCGTTATAAGTCAGTAAACTTAACACTGTCCCACCCGGGGACACTCTCTGTGTTTTTTTCTATGTGTTCAGCACTAAATCTTAAGAGAACCAGTTATAACTACCAGACTCCACTAATTCATCAGTTTGGTACACATAAAACATTATAAATTATAAACCTATGAAGCATCACATGTATATACCAATATTGTGATAAGGTTTAGCACCATCTTTATATTTGTCAAAGAACAACTAACTTTTTTTTTCTTTTGGCCACATAAGAAATTCATTATGGCAGGTCATTAATAAACAATACAATATAGAGTCATTACACAACTGATCATGAGACACCTCGCTCACATGTGATGGCGTTGCCAGATATGCATATAGAATTCTAGGTTCAGTCCTCATTATTCCAGCGGCGAACAGAGCGTAGAAAGTCCATTATGTAGCTTTGCGCTAAAACAAACAAATAATTAAACTGTTCTCGCTATTTCCCACTAGGGGCAATAAACGCGGTGACCATTAGATACGGTTTAAAGTTTGTACAACATTTCAGATGTGTTTGTCTATTAAAAGTTTTCAATATGAATTTTCCTCGTCTGACTGAAAACCAACTCAAAGCACTAATTATTTCGCGCCATCTTGTGCTTCTTGAGTTGGTTAAGTATTGGATTTTGTGTTTATTGTACGAAATTATTTCTTAAATTTTAATTGGGGGGGGGGGGAGTGAAAAACAAATCCTATATTTTAGGCATGTTTCTGTGTTTATGTGCAGCAGGATTTGTGGATTTATTTTTCATTCTCGGGCTGGATTTATATACTTGTTCTTGCACACATTTTTTTCGATGATGAAAATCATTCATCACTACGTAAAACTGCAATGGCGTAGTAGCCACAATGGCGTAGTAGCCACACGTAAATTGTTCATCTTTTTTATCGTTTTAATACAAACTGCATGTGTTCAAAGTAGGTAATAACCTTCGAAATCTGGTGGATTTCTAGGGAGTGGAATAATGATGAATAATAACTACACAAAATACATAATGGCCTTCTATATCTGATTGATTTTTTTGGGTAATATTTGTGGAATAATAATAAAATCTACAATGTATGTAGTCAGTGGATTTCTATGTAGTAGCTGCATATTCATAATAGAAAAAACATAAGCTTTGCAGTCAGTACTCGTATTTGAAACTACCCTCAATTTAAGACAATCATTGAACACGAGAATGTGAGGTACTTAATAACACAAAAAATATATTGAGCCCTGTTCGGTTGTCATAACAACAGGCAGCATTTCTGTGTTTAGACATCTATAGACTCTGGTTTTCCTCGTGTAATCTTCTTCTTTAGCAAGGCTTTATCTCTTGGTGTGAATTCAAACGCTTCTCCTTTGTTCTTATTTTCTTCTGTAGTTGATCCAACAACTATATTAGTGTGTGTGTTTGTTTGTGTGTACAAGAAAAGAATCTTGCATATAAACGCTTACTCACATTAAAAACTTTGTCTCAGTTCAAACTTGATAGACAAATATAATGCATGATATCGTTGTTGAATTTCACACTGACAACTATGTAAAAAATGAAAGGGGCAAGTACTACCACCCCCACCCCTAACCTCACATAGCTAACCGAAATAAATAAATGTTGCGAAATCAAGATTAACCAACAAAGAGGCAGAAAGTGCAGTCGAACGTCGGTAAGTTCCTTTGTGAGCCAATCAAAATTAAGATCATTCATGAAACGAATTCGTAGAGTATTCATAGAATAATTATTGGTAAAAATCAGTTAGATTAACAACTTCTAATACATAGAAAAGTCAGTGTGTTTTGGTAACACTACGTTCCAATAATGGCTTTCATGTCGTGTTGCTTAACAACAAAAGTATAACCTAATATTGTTGTTAGTCCATGTGCTGAAAGTATAAAATGAAATGTATAGACAACAAAACTGGACAAATATTTGTTGATTTCTTAATTTAGTGTCTCCGTTGATCAAAGAGGTTTGTTGATTAATAAAAACGTTGATGATATAACAGAAAATAGTTTAATTCAGAAACGATTTAAGTTTAAAATCGAATCGATATTTTATACTTTCATAATAAATTTATGCACTTGGCTCTAGGCTAGGTGATCCCACACTACGTCTTAACTTTAGGCTTATTATACCAACACTCAATACACGTATAAGGTTTCACGGCGCACATACACACACCCTCACGCCCCCCTTGCTCACTAAAATCGTAATGTGCAGACAGTAATCGAACTACTCTATCTGGATAAATGCATTTTGGCTTTTATGTCTCCCCCTGTTTCGAGAAATCAAGCGTGAAGTGACATGGCACACACAGACTTTTATATAGGTTAGATAGACTTAATTTAACCCTTAAGTACATAATGCTTTTAGGCTTCTGTATTTTTTCATCAGATTACGAAAATCTCGTGAACAGTGACTTTCGAGTTTACTGATTTGTGGGATATTTTAATTCATGTAAAAGTTACTTTTCAATAGCTTAGGGTATGATTTATTGATTTAGCTAAACTTCTTAATAAACATACTTGTTTTCAACTCAAGTCCAGTTTGTGAAATACTGAGCCACTGTTGCCACAACTTCACACTTGTTAAGCCCAGTATCCCTACAACTTCACACTTGTTGAGCCCAGTATCCCTACAACTTCACGCTTGTTGAGCCCAGCATCCCTACAACTTCACACTTGTTGAGCCCAATATCCCTACAACTTCACACTTGTTGAGCCCAATATCCCTACAACTTCACACTTGTTGAGTCCAATATCCCTACAACTTCACACTTGTTGAGCCCAGTATCCCTACAACTTCACACTTGTTGAGCCCAGTATCCCTACAACTTCACACTTGTTGAGCCCAGTATCCCTACCACTTCACAATTGTTGAGCCCAGTATCCCTACAACTTCACACTTGTTCAGCCCAATATCCCTACAACTTCACACTTGTTCAGCCCAATATCCCTACAACTTCACACTTGTTCAGCCCAATATCCCTACAACTTCACACTTGTTGAGCCCAATATCCCTACAACTTCACACTTGTTGAGCCCAGTATCCCTACAACTTCACACTTGTTGAGCCCAATATCCTTACAACTTCACACTTGTTCAGCCCAATATCCTTACAACTTCACACTTGTTCAGCCCAGTATCCTTACAATTGTGCGCCTGCTGTTGGAATCAAACGCAGCTTATGATGGGTGACTTAGACAAAGATTAATTGCGGCTTGTAATCCTGTATGTTTATAATTAATCTTCGTTTCACTTTCTTAGGTTAATAATCTCGCAACTCCCAAGTCTACCGCTTCTGAGGATAGCCTAGTGATTTTTATACGTCTCTTCTGTTGGTTTTTAGGGTTTTAGTTTTCATTTAACGTTTTTGTGAACAGATATAGTTGACCTAGAATTCATTGTTCAACACGTACACTGGACTTCATTAATGTCCCTTTCAGCTCTATCACGTGGACCATGAGAGATTGAGATTATCAATATCAATGCTCTAGTTTTCCACTTAAGCTCTTAGAGTAGTTTTCATGCAAAAATATTACCCCAATTTCACTTACTTCGCCCGCGAGCCCCCACCCACACCACCCCCCTCCCAGCAAGTTGTGCAAAACATATTCAATTGTACGTTATTCGATGTATGTGTGTGTTTGTGGAAGAAGCTTGGCAATTCGGTTTGTATTCTTTCATATATTCGCGCATGGCTACGTAAACGCTATCTGCGTTATCTAGCCTTAATTGTGAACTGATAGACTAGAGGGAAGGCAGCTAGTCAACAGGTACCCACCGCCAACTTTTCGACTACTATACTCGAATACTGAGATTTGACCGTTACCCATATAACGCACCCATGAGGTCAGAGTGTGGATTCAAATCATCGACTCTCAGATCCACAGCTAATCACTTAGTCACTCCTGTCCCAGTTTAACAGTTTATCTCTTTTTATTGTTCAGGATTTATAGATACAAAT